TCGAAATAGTCAAAATCACAACGGCGACCGTCAAAACCAGCTGTAAAACGTAAACATTTTCTAATTTCAAAAAAAAAAAAAAAAAACCGTTCAAAAATATTCAGCCTCTATAAATTCCCCATTTCCACAAACCCTAACCTTCTCATTCTCAGATCAGATCTTAAAAAACCAGAGCCGCGTCTTTGTATACGCCTCTGGTAATCCCTTTCTTTCCATTTCAATCTCACGCATTTTTCTGTGATTTCATTTCAAAATGAGAGAGTGCATTTCGATCCATATTGGCCAGGCCGGTATCCAAGTCGGCAATGCCTGTTGGGAGCTTTACTGCCTTGAACATGGAATTCAGGTCTGTTTTATCTAACATTTTGCTGGAAATTTACCTTGGATGTCTCGTGTTCAATTATTATATGTTTTTTTGTTTTTATATTTTTTGAAGGTTTATTGTGAAGTTTTATTGTTAGGAAACTTACTACCTTGAACATTGCATTCAGATCCGTTCCGTCGAACATTATCCCAAATTTTCCATTTAATTTCATATATTCAATTATTTCGATGGTATTTGAGAAGTTCGATTGGTTATGGTCGGGGATCTTTACTGCCTAATTCAGATCTGTTTCTTTAAACAATTTCCAGAAATTTACTCTCAAATTTTGATTACTATGGTCTTTTTTTATGCATTTTTCGGTGGTGTATTTGAAGAAATGTATAATTATTCATTTTGTATAGCCTGATGGGCAAATGCCGGGAGACAAAACCGTTGGAGGCGGAGATGATGCCTTCAACACCTTCTTCAGTGAAACTGGTGCTGGAAAACACGTCCCGAGGGCTGTGTTTGTAGATCTGGAGCCTACTGTGATCGATGAGGTTCGCACTGGAGCTTATCGCCAACTCTTCCACCCGGAACAGCTTATCAGCGGGAAGGAGGATGCTGCCAATAACTTTGCCAGAGGACACTACACCATTGGCAAGGAAATTGTTGATCTGTGTCTTGACAGGATCCGGAAGCTTGCTGATAACTGCACTGGGCTTCAAGGGTTCTTGGTATTCCATGCTGTTGGTGGTGGTACCGGATCTGGGCTTGGATCACTGTTGCTTGAAAGGCTTTCAGTTGACTATGGTTGTTTTTATTGGTGGTTGCTGTGGATCACCGTTGCTGTGGTTTGCTGTTGAACTCAGTTTGATGTATCACGAATTTTTAGGCTGTTTTTATTGGTGTGTTGTTGGTGTTATGTAAACGGTGGTGGTGGTGATTTTTTTTAATGGTGGTGGTGCGATGCAGGCGATGTTCCGGTGGTTGTGGTAGTGTGGTGAGGTACGACGGTTGTTTGAATCTGTGTTGTGTTTCGTGACCAACTAAGACCGCATAATGGACTAATTGTGATTGCATAATGGATTAATTGTGACCTTAAAATTTGACTATTTGTGACTAAATATTAATCTGAGCCATGTGCAAAAAAATTTTGTAACCTATGCTGTGATTATTTGAAAATAATCGATAACTATGAACAAAATCCTGAGTTGTGACCTGAGTTGTGACTTGGGCTGCGACTTGTGAATTGGACCGTGACCTGAGTTATAACCTGTGATCCTTATAAAAAAATAAAATAAAAATAACTCATGATTATGAACAAAATTCTGATTTGTGACCTAGACTGTGACCTGTGACTGAGTTGTGATCTGAACTGTGACTTGTGACTTGAGTTGTGACCTGGGCTGTGACTTGTGATCTGAGTCGTCGAAATCGGCGTAGTCGCCGGAGCGGTCGCCGGAATCGGCGTCGGAGCGGTCGCCGGAATAGTCGTCGGAGTGGTAGGGTGGGGGTGTGTTAATTTTATTTATTTATATCTTT